AGTCCAAGGTGTGCCCTTTGGAGTGAGTGGGAAAAGTCACTAAATTGTTTAAATTCAAAGCCCTCGAGACAGGGGGAAAAGTCTCTGGTGACCAGAAGGTCATTATTATATATTCATATTATTATATATGAATGTTGAAATCTCCCACCAAGATAACATTTGGGGAGAGAGATGAAGGATGGGTTAGCAGATTAGCAAAGTCACTGAGGAAGACAGGGTTAGGTTTTGGGGGGTGTACAGTAGCTATGATGGTGGGAATGGGTCCAGTCAGCTCACATGCAAGGCACTCTAGGGAGCTAAAGGTATCAACATTAACTGGCAGCACCTTCAAGTGCTGGCGAAAAATGATCGTGAGACCACCCCCATGACCTGAGCAGCGAGGTTTAGAAAAGTAAACAAACCCCGGAGGAGTAGATTCATTTAGCGGAGAAAAGTCATCAGGTTGCTGCCAGGTTTCAGTTAAACAGAAAAAGTCAGACTTATTGCAGAGTACCAAGAGAGAACCCACACAAACACAAAGTCCCCAGCCAGTTGGTGGATTTGAACTCAGGACCTTTGTGCTGTGAGATAACAGTGCTAACCACCATGTTGCCACAAAATAAATGCATTCCAGTTATTTCCACTCATTTACAATAAACGTTCAACCAAACGGAACAAGCAACAAAGAAGCAGACAGTGAACAGGTCTGAACAACTCACCATGTCTAAAAATGTGGCTTGGCATCGGTACATGTTCCTGTACACCTCTATAGGAAGCGTCATCTTGGACACCTCAGTGTTGGGACCCTGATCTGTTAATATTAATCATATACAGATAAGCTCATAATAAAATAAAATATATTAATTATCATACACAAATTAGGTTTGGAATGATACCTGTTCAATGAGAGATACTTACTGCTCTTGGTGCCGTTTATGTGGCGATAGATGATGTACCCCAGAGTGGCCCCGACGGAAAGCCCTGCAGCCAGAGCCACTATTTTCCCAGAGCTCAAGCCGGTCTTATGACCTTCCTTCACTGCATCCATGACACCTTGTGCACCCTGCAGGATGCTTTACCTAAACACACACACGACACAAGTCTCCATCCATTGGTACTATCAGCCTTATTAATGATCTACTCCTCCTTCTTCCATCCATGTTGCCAGCTACAGTTTATAGAATGTTTTTATTTGGTCATCTTATTGCAACACAGAAGCTGTGGCTCTCAAGAATAGTCATCAGCACACATTGTGCCACATCTACTTTGAGCTAGGTAAACATTCATAAATAATATGATTAAGAGCAAAGAGAATTTAAATATCAGTTATTTTTATAATGGCCTGTATTTATATGGCGCTTTACTTAGTCCCCTAAGGACCCCAAAGCGCTTTACATATCCAGTCATCCACCCATTCACACACACATTCACACACAGGTGATGGCAGCTACATTGTAGCCACAGCCACCCTGGGGTGCACTGACAGAGGCGAGGCTGCCGGACACTGGCGCCACCGGGCCCTCTGACCACCACCAGTAGGCAACGGGTGAAGTGTCTTGCCCAAGGACACAACGACCGAGACTGTCCAAGCCGGGGCTCGAACCGGCAACCTTCCGATTACAAGGCGAACTCCCAACTCTTGAGCCACGATCGCCCATTATAAAGATATCTTTGTTTCAATTAACAATAAATAAAACATCAAAAAGAAAATTTAAACAGAAAAATATATACTGTATCAGCTGTTGCTCAAATTCAAAAGCCCAGGACCTTTGAATTAGTTAAACAAAAGATTCAGGTCAGGCCACTACAAATATTCTTTATGTATTTTTAAGAGGTGGACTTTCTGGTGTTTTGGATCATTGTGCAGCTCCAGAACCCAAGTGCACTTCAGCTTGAGGTCATGAACAGATGGCCAGACATTTCCCTTCAGAAAAATAATAATAATGGATTGGATTTATATAGCCCCTTTCAAGGCACCCAAAGCGCTGTACAATTCCACTATTCATTCACTCTCACATTCACACACTGGTGGAGGCAACCTACAGTTGTAGCCACAGCTGCCCTGGGGCAGACTGACAGAAGCGAGGCTGCCATATCGTGCCATCGGCCCCTCTGGCCCACACCAGTAGGCGGTAGGGTACTTGGCAAAAGGACCTTGGCTGTGCAATGAGCAAGAAGAACTGGTCTGGAGTACTCTCCAATACTAATAAATACCTTTAAAAAAGGCCCATGGAAAATTCATGCCATTTCTAAAGTAATACATGGGTTTTATTTTACCCACTTATAGTTTGGATGTAATGTGCAACAATTTCTATTGGAAATGTAAATCAGAAAAGGAACATTTATTCATGTTATTTGGGAATTTAAACAAGTGTATCCCTTTTGGAAAAAAAAAAAATCTAGATCGTGTAGTGGACTGGTTTGATAATACCCAAATCACCAAGGTTATGTTTTTTCTGAGACCAGTCGGTCTTACCCACTGCATCCAAATACTGCTTTGTGGTGACAAAAGCAGGTGCTTTTACAGCCACAAGAATAACCTGAAGAGTATGGAAAGACACGTCCTCCCCAAATTTCAAAAACTGGACAGAAGCTATGTAAGAAATTGGATCATACAGAAAATGTTGGCAAGAATTGACTATGATACTAAAAACTTTAGGAGATCTTTGAGAGGGCAGTTTGTAGAAATGGTTGTAGGTTAGAATCTCAAGCCCAGCCTTTCTTTGTCTTTCTGTTTTTATCCCAGTTTTCTTCCACTCTCTTTTTACATAGGCATGTAGTTATGATCAGCACATTCACGGAAAATCAAATAATGACCCCGTCTGATCTCGTTAAACAAAAATTTTAAGAACGACTTTCATGACTCACACTATTGAGTGTAGGCTTCAACCCAGCTGCCTTCTAATGAGAATCGTACTTATAACCCCATTGAATGCGGCATGTCTTCCTAAATATAACACAACGCGATAACTGCACCCTGCATGCATTTGCTGAGGAGTGTATATATTTTGGGCATTTGATAGTTCTGTTTAGCAGCAGCTTACCACTTTAGGACAATATTATAGAACAAATATTACATTTAGATTCGAATACTGCATGCAGTCTCCTCGGACCTGCTCATACAAGATAAGCTAGCTGCTGCTTTCAGCACTGACACAAGGTAACTAAACGCCACTAGCATGCTCAGATACACGATATCACAGCCTTTATATGTTTTCGACGCTAATACGATTTAGAATCAACGGCATTTTGGAAAGAGTTTCCACTCCCTTCCCACTCGACCTTACCTGTCGTTAACCTCCTAGGAGGAAGTTCTCAATAAACCGGAAACAATATTTAGTATTTAATTTTCGAATATTGAATTTTCTAATGTGCAGCAGCAAATTAGCTATTAACACTAAAAAAACACTTTATAAATAATTTACTATGAAAAATCTATTAACCACAAACGTGATCATTTAAATTAAACATTTTATTTTGAGTCGTCAACCGGAAGCCCACTTCTCGCTGTGCAAGCTGCGTGCAAGCTCCCTCAGCCCAGTGACTGTGAAGAAGAAGCGTTCCCCTCAGAATCAGACCTCAGCACCACCCGGTGGCAACAGACAGACATCACAGACAACCTGTGTGCCAACTCTCGTGCTGAATACATTCATTTGTTTTAATATTTGAGCAAATTTGTCGCAATTCCAATATTCAAACAAAATTTAAAAAGTACAGCTGCTGACCATATTTTATACTGTCAGTGAAACCAGGTGTTTTACTGAAAAAAGTACAGGCAAAACTTTAGTTTTCTAGAACCTTACCTGAAGGTTACAATTTGGAGAGCGATCTACAAGGTAAGTTATGTAGAACCTTAAGAGAACTTGTTTAATCTGTTGATGTTATGGGAGAACCTCAGAGGACCTCCAGGGAATATTGCCTTCTATTAGTGCCTCAGAGAACATATTGCAACCACTACAGCTGTCTGGAAACGTCAGTCATATTTAAGGGCATTGCCTATAGTGATAGCTACAAAAAACAAAAAAAGATTATTTTTTTTTTCAGATAAAATGTAAAACTGTACTAACACATATTTTTTAATTGGGTGTAAAATTGGTGCAATATCATTCTTCTCTTAGGATGGAAAAGAGAGCCTTAAACAGACTGATGTTTTTCAGGTAAGTAGGTAAGTAGGCATAACAGGAGAGAGATGATACAGGAATATAAACATCCTTATAAATTATGTAATGCTGTAGGTGAACTCACTCACCAAAATATATAACACATATAAAAAACTATAGCAGTAATATGCAACAAACACATTATGTAGCAGTGTTATTCGTAAAAGAAAAAAACAAAGCACACCACAATGTGTTTCACATAAAAAAATACATTGACACAACTATTTGTTTGACATTTGTTTTCAAGTACATTTTGGTGTTGATACTCACACACTGAGGTTATGAATGTACGTTTTGCAGCTCTTGATACTTTTTTCACTGGAACTAGCACAATCCCATTCGGATGAAAAAAAATTTCACTAAACACATTATGGATAAATCAAAGCTGTCCACAGTTCCCTTTATTTTTCCTTTTTCCCTAACAGAAACCACCCTTTCTTTCAGGATAAACCTCAGTGATTAACCACATATTTGTTATTTCTCTATACGCAGCAGTTATATTTGTGTTGAAAATACCTCTGCAAATACAGGAAACAAATATTAAACAATTGTTTTAAGTGTTTCCACCAGAAACTTGACTAGAGGATGCAACACCGCAGGGACTTAATTTAGTTGTACTTGTTACAACAACAATAAAGATATTCTGATTCTATTCTCCCCATTCTCTCAACCTCTCAGCTGGTGCTTGGCTGGTTCCTCTTGGTCCACCTTATCCTCACGCTGCTGAATTTGTCCTGCCCTATCATCAAATGTGGAAAACAACATTTGATGATAATCACCTGTCACCTTGCAGGAGGGCACTTTTCAGTCTCTCCCAAATCTGGATTCAATCAGTAAATCAACCACGGCAGTTAACAAAAATAACAACAAAATGTATCAAAAGTTTATTAAACATCTGTTAGCTTGCCAGATGAAAACACAATTTTGACATGGACATACTTTATAAAATAAGACAGAGTGGAAATGGGAAAAGAAAATTGCACGTACATACAAAGTTTTTGCATCAGCCACTGCTTGGTATGCCAGTACCTTTCAGCTGCCTTTGTTATCCTACATGCTAGCCAAGCCTGATAAGACTCCTTCAGTCTGACAGCTCTCTTTAGGTTGGGTGTCCACCACCTGGTTCTGGGATTACCACCACTACAGGCACCAACAACCTTCCAGCTGCAATTCCTTGCAGTAGCTTAGGCAAGGAAGTTGTGGAACATTCTCACTTGGACTCAATGACCCCAGCCTCTTTTAGAATGGAATAAAAGCCAGGGAAGGCTGGCAGGGGAGCTGGGATAATTCCTTAATCATGCTCTTCCTACTTCAGTAACAACAGGACCTGGAGGGAAAGGATAGATGAGCAGGAGACCTGATGGCTGTAAAGCTGTCTGGAGCAGAGCACAGGTTTGTTGGTGTAATCATACTGTAAAATAATCAGTTCCCTGCAACACAGACTGTATACACACAGTGTTATTGCAGTGGAAGGCGGGAAGGTGCAGCCACAGATGGAGAAAATGACAACCATCACAGCCTGCACATGTCCAAGACCAAACAAAAAAGAAAAGAAAAGAAATAAAAAGAAAGAGATGAGGTGGTTTTGGGGCTGACTGGATATTACCACTGGTTCATTATGAACTTTGTAGAGCTGACCAGCCCCTAACGGACCTCTCTGAAAAGGTGTCCAAGATCTGCTACAGTGGATGGAGGAGTGCCAGGTGGCATTTGTGCAGGTTAAAAAGGCTCTCTGTGGGGAACCTGTGCTGCACACCCCTAACTTTTTCCTGTTAGAACGGGAAAGGTGGTACTGTTGAAAAAGAGTTCTTGGCAATACAGTGGCTTCCTGAGATGCCCATTCACTTTGTTTGGATCACGTCCCACTGGCTCCAGTGTATGAAGGACGCCATTGCCTGGATCACCTGAGATTAGCTCTCCAGCCTTTTAAGTTAAAGGTGGCCCATAAGCCAGGGGCACAGATAATCGTGGCTGCTTTCTCCAGCTCGTGGGAAAATGGGTGGGAGGTAGAACTGGCTAGATGGCTCAGCTTGCCTAAGTCGGGCAGTGGGGTATTTAGAGAGGATGGGTGGGGCAGCAGGTTCAGGGAGCAATGCTAAGGAGGCTGGCTGGTCAGCTGAAACTAATTCCCTAATCATTCTCTCTCTTCATTTAAGTAATGCTGCGATTGAGCAAAAATCCTGTGGGATTTTTCCTGTGGGACAAACAAACTGGTGATAGCTAACCAACCACAAATTGTAGTGGTAGACAAGTAGAGGAAGAAGACTGTAGTAACATATTGATAAGATTAGGAGGGTGAAGGCAACAGTGATACCTGTGGTAACAGGAGAACAATGGGCAGACGGGGAGATGATCACAGGTTGAAGGGTAAATACCGCCCACAGGGCGGTGTGTGTGTGTGTGTGTGTGTGTGTGTGTGTGTGTGTGTGTGATCTGTGCCCTTCACTGGACAATAGTGTAACTGCATGTCTTCTTTATTCATGTGATTGTCTGCAAGAGAATCTAATCCTTACATTTTGCGGTACTCTGACAAAATGGACGAATACGGGGAAAAAATGGATGAAACAATCTGTCAATATTACTTATTACAATGACAAATATTTACAAAATTCCAAAAACCTAGGACACACATGGAATAAAGTGAGGTTTTTAATCACAACTACTGTGACAGCCAATGAATATTGCAAACTTTGCAACCTGCACATGCCATATGTGAATTAAACTTTATTCCCATACATATAAAAAACAAACAAAAAAACAATATTATATACACACAATTCCAACTCAAAACAAAGGTTTTGGGGGGATTTTTACATTTTCTGAAAAACAATTTTAATTCTCAATCACTCACAGGGTTAACATGCCCCTGGCAAAATTTATTTTGAGGCTTTTGAGGAACGTGTTTTCAACTAATTGTATTCTGAAGATTTTCAGAGAACTTGACCTGTGACCTTAAGGTTAAGGCTACTGAGATTCAAACTCATTCAATATTTTTAGTAGATACACCCACGTATCAATTAAAAAAATCCTGTGTCGCTACATTCTCTAGTTATTACATTCCCAAACTTTGGTGTCCACATTGATCCCCTTGACGACAATACCCCATCAACCTTTTATGTCTCAGGGGTACAAAAATGACTCATTGTCAGGTTGTATTGCATAATGTCGCTCTTCATGACTCTAGACTTATTCTCTGTTACAAGCTCAACAACCTAAATAGTTCCTGTCAACTAACAAACTACACAGTGCAGTAAATAAACCCAAACACATCAGCAAATATGAGAGCACCTGAGTGGCACTTCATGCTTTAGTTTCCTTTTTAACTCTAAATGGGAAAACCTCCTTTACAAAATAAATTAGCCATTTTTAATAAAAACACATTCAAGTGTGCATCTTACCTCCTCAAATGTTTTCACAAACAACGTTTATTCGACTGTTTGTTTATGTATTTAGTGAAATAGAACTAAGTTCTTCAAAAGTACTCATGCCTATATTTATAATTATTACAAACTTTGGGGCTCCACGGGTACCTTTTTTTTTTTCCAGTGTTCCCACTTGACTTGTTAAAAAAAAAAAATCATCAAAGCTAGTCAGATGATATGCAACAATTCAACATGTCTCAGCGGATGTCACATTAAGATCCTCTGAAAGTGAAGTAGCATTTAGCGGAACGTTTCTGGAGTGGACCCCATGTAAAACGTTTCTCGGATGTAGAACAGATGTGAAGAAGATGAAGCAGGAGCTTCTTCAGAAATTATTCTTCATGTCTTTCAAGAGTTCAGACAACAAACTCTTCTGACATCATTTAAATGTTTGTAATTAAATTGGATTCTTTGGAGTCTTTCTTTTCCCTGCCTTTTTGTCATGAATCAACTGTTAAAAAACGGTCCCAGAAGCTCGAACAAATGTGTCAAACTGCCCTCATGGTTGTTCGACTTTTGCTCCGCCTGGCCGCAGTGCAGTTAGGCTTAAATTGTCTGCTACAGCATGTGCACCAAGCTGGCTCCTGGTATTGCCCCACCAACAGACTTCAGAACGGAGAGTTCATTCCAAGCTTTGTTTCAAACTGCAACTTCTGTCTCTTCTGGTACCGAACTCGCACCCTTTGAAAGGACACAGAGGACAAACCAGAGCTTATAATCAACAAACGCACAAAAAAAACAATTTAGCAGCAATTCAGTGCTCTGAGGAGTATAAGAGAAAAACAAAGACTGACCTGAAATCTAAAAAATTAATAATAATCATCATCATCATCATCATCATCATCATCATCATCATCATTAAATTAATTAATGGCTAATATCATTATTATTATTATTATTATCATTCCACCACCACATGTTCATGCTACCCTCTTTCTGTTTCTAACATTTGTACAGAACATATTGTCCATCCATCCATCCATTCGCTTCTGCTTCTCCTTTCCAGGGTCGCGGGGGGCGCTGGAGCCTATCCCAGCTGTCATAGGGCGAGAGGCGGGGTACACCCTGGACAGGTCGCCAGTCATCGCGGCCAACACACAGGGACACAGACAACCAGTTGCACTCACATTCACACCTATGGGCAATTTAGATTGATCAATTAACCTATCCCCACTAACTGCATGTCTTTGGACTGTGGGAGGAAGCCGGAGTACCTGGGGAGAACATGCAAACTCCACACAGAAAGACCCCGGCCTGATGGTGGAATTGAACTCAGGACCTTCTTACTGTGCAGCAAAAGTGCTAACCACCGTGCTGCCCGTGCACCGTGAATCAGAATCATATTGTTTCTAATCATTTTCCAACTATTTTATACTATCCCTCCCCAACACTACTGATGTATTTCTAACAGCTTCTTCTATTTCGTACCGTATCTCATGTAGCTTCACCACTTCATTGACTACAACCACCAGCAGCAGGGAGACAGACACTAGCAGCCAGGCCTCCAGCGGTATGTCAGCCAGTTTAAAGCACAGGACAGTTGTCTTGTCACACCACAACTGGTAATCCACTGTGGCTTGAACAATTTGGCTGACCAGTCTGGTGAAAAGTACAGACAAGAGGATTTCATACATATACATACCCTTTTCCATTAGTACCTACTCGTGTCGGCTTGGTATGGTTTAACAAGGGTTTTTAGTGTTCGCCATGGGACGATAGTAGTGACTGGTAGCAGGTACCTTTTTAGTACCTGCTTGGCCACAGTCTCAAGCGGTCCAACCAGGTACTAAAATGTGACATCAAACCGCATGCCACCGATTGGCTAATCGGTGGCGTCACTTGATGATTCACGAGAGCGTCTCCTTATCGAAAATCATAACCGCCATTTTTGAAACACGACAACGAGGTAAATGGGTACACAACAAATAATACTGTGGTCTTCAAGTCTGACAAAACACCACCGACTGAGGAATGGGAATAGCATCGGTCTGATATCCTCCTCTACTGTCTTGATGCATGCTCAATCATCCTGGTAAGTAAATCCCAAAGAGTTAATTCTGTTCATCTGGACGTTTTTAGTTTTCAAGTGATTTTCTTCAGTCTCAGATGACTGCAGGTCTCTGCAACCTTATAAACAGTACCTTTGCACAATGACAAGCCCAATGGGCTGTGAGGTCAGACCACTGATCAACAACCACAGATCAAAGACCACTGATCAATGCCCATGAGTACTAGTCATAGAGTTGGGGAATGGTTGCAATCACAGCATTGTATGATGGTGAAAGATGTCCCCTCCTCGATTCAGAGGAGCTCTTTCCCTTTTCACATAAATGGCCTCCTTGACTCCCCGCTCAAACTAGCAAACTAGTGTTTAAACACAACGTCCACAGATGAACACAATCAACTCCTTGGGGCTCTCCTTGTGTTGTGGTGTCATGTGTCGCATGCAAATGATGTAACCGGACACTCTGCTGCGTTGCTATTAAGACTTCACGCACGTTCGTGGTATATTGATTGTAACGAGCCGATCCAAGTAGGTACTAATAAAAAAAAATTGCTAACAAAGACTCAAAAACAAAGGCAATCCCAACTGATTTTACTGTAATGTACAAAGTATCATAAGACAAGATCTTATTATGGTCATGACTACATTTTACATTCTGCCAACTCTGAGGTAAACAGAACTACAGTTCTGTGCAGAAGTCTTGAGCCACCCACCTGTTTTATATTTTGTTTCCAAGAATTCAGAATTTTTATTTTTAAATATCTATAGGCAATAGTTTTACAGACATTATTAAGCTCTTTCAAAGTTTTTCTTTGGACATTAGGTGCTTTTTTTTTTCCAGTTTTCAGTCCAGTCCTTGTACCTAATCATTTTCAGAAGAATGTTGTAACACTGGCCTATGACTCATGCAGGCATAAAAAGGCACCCAACTCAACCAATGAAGGATAATGATAACAATGATAACAATGTTATAAAAACTGACAAAACACAATTTTAGAAATAAGAAGGAAAAATCCAGCGAAGGCCTAAAAGTCCTCCTTTGAAATGCATCTGATCTTTCAGTCATTTACTGTTTGACCACGACTCAGTAATGACTTCCATGGAGTGTGGCTATCAAGAAGCCATTCTTAAGAAAGGGAAACAAGAAGAAGAGCTTGAGGTATGCCAAATTGCACAAGAACGGGACTGAAAATCAGGGGTATCAGGACTTATATACAGCTGGACAGAATTGTTAGCCCACTATGTAAATATAATTTTTAAGCACACGTTTTAACAGTACTTGGAAAATACTTGAATTTTTTCCCCCCAGTACCATCACTTTGGTCTTCTGGAGGTAGTTCTTCACCACGAGTTCTATATGATTTGGCTCCTTGTCAGGTTGGAAGACAAAGCAACAACCCAGAACCACTTTTACTATGGACTGCATGAGTTTTTCTGTTAAAATCTTCACATTTCCCCCTTTCTTCATGATTTCATCGACCATGACGAGATTTCCCACTTCCACACTTGCTGCAGCATCCCCATAGTTTGGTGTGAGGACAGTATGCTTTGGGTTGCACACATCTCCCTTCTTTCTACAAACATAACCAATGTCTTTGGCCAAAGAGCTAGAATTTTGTCTCATTTGACCAAAGGACACATTTCCTACCTCTGCCAGTATGATGGCTGCATGCAGCCACACAACTGAAATACTCTGTTACCTGGAGCTGGTTTAAGTGCAGAGGCAATAAAATGGACTTAACCATCTGTTGTGACGATTCAGGGGGGAATGGGGTTTCTTCTTGTATTATGTTTAGCTATTGCTTTGTGGTTTTCACCTTTTATTTATACAATAGTTCATTCAGTCACTATATAAGTGGAGCTGTCTCTCATTTGGAGAGGTGGGTTTGTTGAATTATGATATTTTGTACTTTTTTTGAGTAGAATTTTGTTTAGTTAACCTCTTTTATGGGCCCACTTAATTATTAATATGGCTTGTTTCTGTCATTTAATTTTTGTAATAATTTTGTCTTTTTTGGAGGGTATAGTAAAACCTATTTCTTGAAGTGCCTGTATGTTCTCATAGCCAGGCTTGCTCTGTACTGGGTGGCTCACTTCCTCATGTTCCTCAAACTTGGAAATGTTACAACTTTTTATATTCAACTGCTTTGTGGGCATCAATAAGTCTTTTTCTAAAGTCTAAATTGATTTTATTTCTTTCTGGCCTGATGCTTTCTCAAGTGACAGCTCAGACACTTTTTTTCTACTGTATAAATAAGATAAATCCCAGTTTTAACTCGAAGCTTTGGTCATTTTAAAGTCAAAGCACATCATTGCACAGCAGTGGTTTGGGCTACGGCTCAATGGAAAAGGTCAATTTTTCAGAGGGATAATAATACTGACCCCAGTCATTTTTGTTTTTTTTCTGAAATTATTCTTTCAATATGTGCAAATAAAAATATTTTGTGCTTTCTAAAGAAACCTAATGTATTTAGAAATGCTCGTTTGAAAATCTCTTCTTCTGTTTAAAAAAATAAAAGTACTTGGGAAATTTTGACATCAACTTGAAATTTCATAGTGGGAGTAATAATTTTGTTCTTATCTGTATGCAGAATAAGAACAGAAGCAATCTATAAAACACGGTGAAGACTGTAATGGTTTAGGTCTGCATGGCTCTTCAGTGGAGTTATGAACATGGAAATGTACAATTAGATTTTTATCCACCATCCACTACCACCTGGAAAGCAACTGATTGGCAATGGCTTCATTTTTTAGCATGACAATGGTCACAAATATGACACCGATGCTGTAAAAATAACAAGGTTTTTACACGTACCAAGATAGAAAATGTCTAAACTATTTGCTGCACATATACTTTCATAGCAAAAAATCTAAATGAAGCATGGATCAAGACTTTTGCACGGTACTGAGTTTTCTCTCAGGTGGTAACGTTGCAGCAACATAACCACAATGTTCAAAGTTTGATTCTAGCTTTGTGAGTGCAGTATGTCAACACAACATTGCATTCACTTTGAAAGTTGTCTTGAAATCTCATTAGTAAATATGTCTATGAACATTGCATAACATCTTTAATAGACAAACACATGAACTCCAGCACCAATCTGTTCATTTTAACCCTGTTGTAAGTACAGTATCTAAAGCTAAATGTACTGGTGTTTATACACTGCAATTTTCTAGTCTTACTGATCACTCAAAACAGGACTGCTGAAATCTATTATAAAACCAGCGTTAATCTTAGTCCTTGATGTTTGCAAAGATGTTGATAAACACTGGGCTTTAACATTATCTAAAGAACATAATTACTTACACCACAGGTACAGTGACACACCACCAGGTATTGCTGAATGGGCTCTTTTTCCATAAAGGCTGCGAGCGATGGACATAGCTCAGGGAGATTACCACTGGTAAATGACAGAACAACAATAAGAAAAGTTCGATTTTAAAAAAGAAAACACAATCACTCGTCTTTAACATGGGAGTTTTACTGATCATCTCGTGATTATCAAAACAATCTGTGTTCAAAATGTTCATTTTATTTCAAACTACCTCTCTGAAAATGGGCCACGTCCACATGTAAATGGGTATTTTTGAAAACGCAGGATTTTCTATGCGTTTGCAACTTTCGTCCATGTGTGTACGGCGTTTTTGATCACTGAAAACTAAGATTTCTAAAAACTCCTGCCAGGGTGGAGGTTTTCAAAAACTCAGTTTTTGCGTTTGTGTGGACGAGGAAAACACGAACACAATGTACAGTCGAGTCTTAATAGCTTACTTACAGCTGGGCTCGTCAGGCACCCTTTTTGGTTGCAGTGGTTATTATTATTTTTACATGCTCACAGACACATAACGGGTATGACAGTCCATTCTCGCTGCAGCACGGACTACACTGCCCATGAGGCTACATTCTTTAAGGCTATGCCTGTAACACTCTGCCTATTGCCTTCATTTTAAATACTTTTTTGAATAATAAAAAAAATTTAAAAAATTCCTCACGTCATTGGTAGACGTCCGCAAGTAGAGGTGACATAGGCTGTGAGATTGAGACACAGGCATTAGAGCCTCTTAATGGTTGTATTCTGAGTACCAACCCTTTTTAAACCGTAAATGTAATACAGTTACTCATATTTTGTATTTTAAATACGTAACGGTGGTACATGTATTCCGTTACTCCCCAACACTGCATAAAACACAGCCGCTGCCAAAATTTTTTTAATTTATGTATGCTGTATCCATTTTGTTCATTCCTAAGCTGTGAGTCTACACCAACCTGTCTTTAGTTATTAGCATTTGAAATGTTGAAGGCACCCCCCCAGGAAGACGGAGGGAAGCCCTATCCCTAGCAGAGCACAGTGTGGGTAAAAAAAAAAAAAAAGAGAAAAAAAAGTAGTTTCAGGTGATTTGGGCAAACCTAAGCTCCGAGAACAGAATAAAAACTGTTTTATGGTCCCGCAAATTGACCAGAGGGAGGAAAGGGGTTTTCATTTACTACAGACGCGCTCCAGTGGAATACTCTAAGATCCTGACTGCCGTTGTCCTAGAGCTCACAAACTGCTTTAAGACATCATAAAAATCTAAAGGACACTTGTACATATCTATGAAGGCGCTCTTACCTGTGTGCAAGACAAGAAACCCTGCCATGATCTTCTGCGTCATCAGCAGACCGTTAGACAGTTCAAAGAACCACTGAGGTGCACTAGGTGAAACGCTGCAGATATATGGAAATATATTTGTTTTTAACATGTTGCTTACTTGTTCTTCATTATTGCTAATCTAACTGCATTGTAATTCATTTTAGCATTAAGTCTATGAGTGGAACAGCTATGTACTGTTGCAGGTTATTGTTACTCCTACCTCTTTGCAAATATATTACAGGAGGCAGTGGTGTTGTCTGAGGAGTTCAGGTTGCAGTGTGACAAACTGCTCAGGCAGACCGCTTGTAGGCTAAACCCAAAGGCCAACAGGTAGGCACACATAGTCAGGCCAAACTTCAACAGGAAACAGCCAAGGAAGTAGTTCTGAGTCTGGTTAAAGAGGTTGGCAAACAGACATACACAAATTCATCCAAGATTTCAGTAGCTGATCTGGTAATGTAGCTGTTCCTTTTCAAATCACTTTATCAGCTAATGTTACAAAATAGCCATCAGATTCACGTATCGCCAATTGTATCTTGCTTGCCAAAGTTATTGCTAGTAAGACAGCAAATACTAGCCCAGCCTGCCAAATGACTTCAATAGTTAATGTGATCCTTCATATGAACTTACCCATAAATTCTAAAGTCAAATGACTGAACAAAACAAAGATTTATGACCACTTTCTTCAGTAATACCGCAAAATATAGAATGGCTAGTTATTACTAGCTGTTGTAACTCTTTTACTCAGTGTGATTGTTTTTTAATGTTACTCTTAATTGTTCTGTTATTGTATATTTTTCACATGTTCGTATGGGATATTGTATTTGTTTTAAATGTTATGTACATGTATTTTGACTTTAGTTGCCATGATGCCAGGTTTCTCTTGGAAATGAGATTTTTAATCTCAATGAGATTTTTTACCTGGATAAATAAAGGACTAGTAAAATAAAAACTAAAAACCAAGCTATGCAACATGTATTTTGCAATAGTAGCTGCAACTTTGTTGTCATATGACTGATGCCGAGGAAAACAGTAGACGAAATAGTCCACCATTACAGTGCAGGACATTTTTGTGCATGTCTTGTAATCTGCCAGTTGTAACTGTTATGGTCGTGTCTATAATTAATTCTTTCTCTGAGGTTGAGCAGAGTTTCTTTAAGTAGATTTTATTAAGCATTCATTTGAGTGGATACAGGAAATAGATACACTGTGTGAACAATAAAAACCTGAATAATATCACATGAGTATACTCTATTTCTCATACTTGATACTACCTTCTTCGGGATTGCGTCCAGGTTCTTCCCTGTGGCAACTGTCATAACTGTACTATCAGGTGGCTTTCCCAAAAGTGACACACTGCCAACAGAGAACAAATTAGAACCAGTTTCTTCACGAAACAACAAAATAACTATGAATTATTAGTTTCTAGATATTTACAGTATGTATGTACCTTAGCAGAGGGCAGCTGAAGCATGACACCCAGAGGATGTCAGTGGTGTTCATGGGAGGAGGAAGTTGAGCTAAGCAGGCTAAGAACTGTAACACCAGAAGCACATGATGCAGTAAATTACACAGAAATAGGAAGATGTTTAATGCAGTGTAAACAGGCACATCTTCAGAATTTATGAATCTTCCCTTCTCACCTGGATGATAACCAGACTGAGTTGACACTGCAGCAGAAAGAGGAAGCACTTGCGAATGCCGTAGGTTGTGTGTCGTGCCTGCAACACATTCAGCCAAAGGTAGATACATTTATAAATGTAACATTACTCTTAGACTGATCGGGTACACAAGGGCCTGTGTGCATCTAACCTGTTCTATGAGTTTGACCATGCTCACACTCTCTCCTTGGTGGAAGGTAACAGAACAGCCCATGCTGTTGAGCTGTCCAGACAGCCTCAATGGAGACAGTCCTTCGACCTCTCCATTAAATCCTCCCCCAGTGGCATAGCCAAACGTCTCCCACAAACACTGAGATGGATACAAAGGGTCCAAAGCAATGCTGTAAAACAGAGAGGTCAGGTGGCGTGATTGTATGGCAATTTGTGCAGGATAGGGTGAACAGTAGTTGGATGCATTCACCACCCTTTAGTGTTAATGTACATTATTTTAACATCAACAATCAGTAAAGCATAATCACACTGTAACAATATATGTTTTAGAAATGTTTAATATTGCATAAATAAATAAAATTAAGTCTCAGCTTTGACTGGACAATTCAAAGAAGCAGAGTACTGAAGCAATTACAAGCTCATTTTTTTGCTGATGAGTAAACCATCATCTCCAGCACACTGCAGCTGGAGTCTGATTGAGACTTGTCCATTCATTCTCCCAACTTTGCATAGGATTTCTAAAACTATAAGTCACTTGCTTAAAGGAGACCTGTTTTATTCTAGTTTGGCCAGGTGCAGTATACAGATACACTGTGGCATGAAAGTGTTTTTGAATTAATCTGCAAATATTCCAAATGATTTATTATCTCTTTGGTAGTCCTTGTTCTGCTTTGCAGCCTCAGTTAGCCCCATATTAGAAAAATGATTGCTGTAGCCAACTGCAGTCAGTGACAGAGTTGTGACAACAGTTGATTCTATGTTATTTAGTATGATTGTGCATATTCATATATTTTATTATTAGCGTACCTTAGGTCACTCTGAAGGAACAGGCGGCTATTGCGAAAATTGCCAGCGCTCCCCAGACAGCACGTAACCTCCCTGTTTTCCTGCATGATCGTGATCATCTCACACATGGCTGAAAGAAAGTGTTACAGGCATGTGGATCGTTGGTTCACTTTTGTTAAACTTTACTCAGAATACTAAGTAGTAATGTACTGGACATCTTGTACACAATATGGTACCCATATGTAAGATAAGACTTACTTTCAGGCGTACAGTCTGTGAAGAGTGGCACCAAAAGAGGCACATTATCAATGTTCTTCAAATGAGGACGAACCTGGTGGATCCCACGAGGTAACTTGGCCTTTACAAAATATATGGAAGCAATACATAAAACACAAGACTGAGCAGACTTTGCTTTTGCCTCTGTGGGCTAGAACAGTAGTTTCACTGGTTGTGATTAAGAGCAAATTACCCTGTTACAGTCCTCCAGGAAGCTGGGGACATCGCTATCTGTGGGCTGGAAACTGGCCAGGTCAGAGTGGGCTTCCTCTTCTGGTAGCAGGGGACCTTCTGCTTCATCCCGAGAATCTGTGTTACAGAAAAAAAAAAAATAGTATGGCTTCCTCTACACTTATTAAGAAGCATTACTGAAAAAAAACAAAAAACAAAACAACAACAACGAAAAACACCAAAAGTACCAGATTTGTACATTTACTCATACACTCTTAAGATACACAGTATATTGCATACAGTATGTTGTATACAGCAGCGGTCCACAACCTTTTTTACGCCACGGACCGGTTTATGCCCGACAATATTTTCACGGACCGGCCTTTAAGGTGTCGCGGATAGATACAACAAAATAAAACTAGTACTGGTACCGAAAAAAAGAAGATTTATTCATAACACACGTGAAGAGACCCAGGAAGACCGAGTTAAAGATAAAAACGATAACAAACTAACGCTGAAAACCGATAAAAACCCTGAGAACCATATATTTCACACCTGAGCCTCAACTCTCGCGGCTCGGTACCAAACGACTCACGGACCGGTCCGAGGGTTGAGGACCGCTGATATACAGTACTAAACTGATTTTTTGCTGAGAAGGAACCCAATACACTGAGAGAGGAGACTGTAAGTGGTTTTATAGATATAACAGATACAGCTGGGCTGCCATAAATTGCTTCACCTCATAGGAAAACACGCATTGCCAGCTGTTTTTCCTCCCACTGAGTTAGGGAGGGGACATTTAGTGTGTATGTGGCAGAGTGTGAAGCACTGAGAATTAAAAGTAGCACCTCATGGTTCTCAGCCAGAAAAGGGTGGAGGACCCACTCTGGGTCAGGGACGAGTTGCTGACCCAGGTAGAGAAGTTTAATTATCTCAGGGTCTTGTTCACGAGTGAGGAAAGAGGGGAGCAGAGATCAACAGACAGACTAGTGCTTTAGCTGCAGTGATGCAGACACTGTACTGGTGCATCACGGTGAAGAGAGAGCAGAGCGGAAGTGCACAGCTCTTGATCTACCTTCATGAAGTGTTTGACAGTTTGGGTAATTGTGTTCTTTCAGATGTGGTTGTACATTTAGATATTAGCTGCTTTTTTGCATTACCTCGTTATGTTGTTGTCTCCTGTTACGACAGTACCTAATAATTCTGTTTCTAGCGACATGAGAGACCTCACATTGGTTAATTGGAACGTAAAAGGTCTTGGACACGTGGTCAAGAGGGGTCATGTCCTTTCACACCTTAAATTTTTGGAAGAAGAAATTATCTTCCTCAAAGAAACGCATGCTAGTGCAGCTGAGTAGCACAGGTTGAGAGCAAATTAGGTTTCTCAGGTTTTTCAGGCTCCATTTACTTATAAATCTAGAGGTGTGACAATCCTCATTAGTACAAATATTCTCTTTAGAGTGGAGGCCACAAAGTCTGATCCATATCATAGATACTTTTGGTTACTCTACCAAATGCTTTTCTAATTATTTATGCTCCTAATGTTGATGCTCTTTTTTTTTAGTTTTGATATTATTCCTTCATCTAATTCCAACATTGCATTTGGAGGTAGCGTCAACTGTTATCTTGAGCCCATTCTTGACAGCCAACCCACTCCCAATCATTTTCCAGAACAGATTTTAAATGAGTTAATTAAATCAAAATATTTGGTGGATATTTGGAGATTTCCAATTATTCCAACTTTTGAAAGAGCCATGTTTTTTTCCCCCTTTGAATATTTATTGTAAATAAGACAGAAGTACTTCCTATTCGATTACTTGTTGGAATAATCAACAGTTTACTTGATTACTAAAATAATTGATAGCTGCTACACTATTAATGACTAAATATATAATCAGCCTTTAAAATTGTTCCCATTACTAATAACACGAATATTAACTAAACTTGTCAGAAACACGGGTACCTTGGTTCAAATCCTCATGCAGGGAGCCATGATTGGGGCTTGATGGAGCTCCATCACAGGGACCGTCTCCGTTTGGTGTCAGAGAGATATGACAGTTCCAGCCTGTCTCTAAACCCATCTTCTCTGCAAACACCTGCACAAATCCAAAGGAGCCGTCTCAAATTTATAGTAGATTATAGCAGTATACTAGACTATATATAGACACTACTATATAGTAGTATCCAGTATTTTAGTAGGTTTTTCCAAACAAATGTGACAATTTTCTTCAGGTCATAAACTGTGACCTTGCGTGAGAGCACACCTGTCTAAAGTGAAACACGCAATGTCATTTGCTGTTAGACCCTCATCAAATCTTTATAGATGACGGAGAACAGTAATTAGCAGTAATTAAATAAGTTACCACCTTTGTCCTATTTGTCTGTAAATGAGCAAAAACTTATAGATACTTATAAATAATAGAAATACTAAATAAATAAGTTAAAACTAAATAAGTAAGCTTTTAGTTGCAATGATTAAGAGCTTGACTGTACTCACCTTGCTGCGGAGCTCATCCTCCATGGAAAAGTAAACAAAGCGGATGCAAGCAGTGACGAGGGCATCAATGAGACGGACCGTGTCTAGCCTTGCCTGGAACTGGGATGACACCATTCCCATAAAGATCTGCCCGCTTAGGGCCTGAACACAGTCGTCACGCTCCACACCCTCACCTATACCTTCTGTGAGCACGACGGGAAAGAGGAAAGAGAGGGTAACTAAACACTGTAACATCTGTCTAAAGTCAGAGAAATGTCTTTATCCACACAATTTTGCAATTTACAGTCACTTCCAAGACATGTAGAATCAAAACTTACTAACTCACTTGTATGCAGTGATTGCCAAGTAAGTAAAATTCATCTGTCCAAGTCATGGTCTTTGATAAACAAGTCAAACTACTGAACCTTGGATAACAGCAATTGAGCTTTGCAGTGACAACATATTTCCTTTAATTCTTGTACAGTTTTGTCTTGTTCAAATGCAAAACCACCCATTTCATCAGTGTCACAGTCCATACCATCTGAGCTCCAGCTGTTCCTGCAGGAGTTGTGTTTGATGGGAGTCGTGGAGGGCAACTCTAGTCCAGAAAACAGACAGGGACCAGGAGCCAGTTCCATACATTTCCCATTCAGCTGGCTAGACAGAGATACTTGCATGGGTTTATACGCAAAAGCTGAGCAGTAACCTGACAGACAGGCACGTTGGTAGAAGTCCAGGACCTTCTTTCTGTGACACAGGAACCAAAGGATGAAATGAAAACTTTCCAAATTCACTGTGTGCATTTGGAAAGTGTAACTATGTTGACTTCAAGCACAAACAAAAAGCCAAAGACAGACCTGTCTGAGCCTGAGAGGGGGTAGATATCAGTTCCATCCCAGAAGTCAGTGCAGGCCTCCAGGATAAGGTCAGCTGAACCATGTGACAGCATCTGGACATTATCTAACAGTGCAAAAAAGCATTATCAAGAAAGAAAACAACAAAACATTATGGTACTGTTTGGCCAAAGGGAGGATTGGACAGAAAAATATACAGGAACATGGATTATGTGCAGGTAATAAAGAGATGGTGCTGAACATTTTATTAAAACTGCATCATAAAACCCAAAACAATAGTAGTGTGCTGACTCACTGGATGAAGAGTCTCGTACGAACAGAGAGATGAGATGGGAGATGGGAGGCTGGCGTTTGGTGAAGTAATGAAGGCGGTGGGATGTGAACTCCTTGGTCTTCTCTCCAGATGGCAGCTGGTAGAGGGTCAAGTGGTTCTCCTGTTTAAACAACTCTCTCGCACCAGGGGTGAACCCTGACAAACAGACAAAAAGAAGAAAACAATGGTTCTGAATTGTTCTCTGATAGATTTTAATATCGCACTCAGTCGATTCGGATGCAGTGATTTATTTAAAATTATATACCAGTGTATGAGAACATAACGTCTTGAGAAAGCTAATTTTTTGTAATTTAATTTGGTAAAGTAAAGTAAAACATATATTCTACGTTCATTACGAGTAATGAACATAGAATATATAATAATAGAATATATTATTTGTATAAAATCTCTCTTTTAACCCCTGTCGTGTAATATGTGCTTTTAATGCTTCTATTACTGCTGGGAGCACTTTGCACTTTACCTACATAATAATTTAGCCTACATAATCATACCACACACTCGTTACAAATTAAACACAAAGATTCGACATTTAGATTTAGTGGTAAAATAAAAAATAAACCCTGGCTTGTCAGACACAGCAGGGTTAAATCAGTGGTTTTCATTTTTCCTGTTGGGTTGATAAGGCATGTTGCTGTCGCATCATAGACTACTTGTTTCATTTGTAGAAATGTTTACAACAATGCACTGCGGTCTGAATATTACTAGGCTACTAGGAGTGTTGCGTTTAACCATCTACATTATGCTGTAGAAATTTCTGTTTGAAATTTTTTTCCTCCCGTCTTACTCTGCATTTCTGGCAGGATCATTGACAGGGCCACTCAGAGGTTGCTTCTGGCCACATGTGGCCCATAGGCCGTTGCTTGAGTAGGCTGGGCGTAGAGGATCTGTAAAATCCTCTGTGCCACAGGATAACCATTGTTAAATAGGTTTATATCAGCATGTAACCTGTAACTTATACATTGTGTTAAATAGCGACCCACAGGCTGTTGGATATAACCAAAAGATTCAGGGAAGTCATTACTTGTTTAGTTTATATAAGAATCAGTTCTGACATGCTCACCTATAAGTCTGGAAAGCTCACAGAGCCCCCATGGAACATATACTGGCAGCACCGTGCCGTGGCTCTCCTGCAGAGCCAGGTTTGATAGATGGTCAGAGAAGCGACAGAGCTGCTTGGTGACACTGGCATTGCAGAGGTTTAGCATGATATTCAGGCCCAGTGGCTTTAGGGAGGGCAGGTGGCACTGCCAGGATTGGTCATCAAACTGGATGCTGGCAGGGTTCTGCTGGTCTTGTGACAGGCTCAGCATCTCCAGGTGGTAGTCACACACAAAGTCATCAGCCTCCACTTCAGGACAGCCCAGTGAAAAATCCTTGAGATAAGAGAAAAAAACCTGAAGCCACATACCAACTTCCTGAGTTTATCACTTTATTTGTACTGTGCTGGTTAGTTCCCTGTCATTTTAAGTTATTTCTTATTGGTTAGCTTAAATATGTAGGCCATAGCAGCAGCAGTGAAAATTCAAACTGACAAAAACAAATTTTAATACAACATTTACATCTCAGATAACCCAAAATTTCAGTATTAATGGGACTAATGTTTTCACCATCTGTTTTTAAAATTTTATGTAGTAATTTTTTTTTTTTTAAAGAGCTCTATATTAGAAATTTCAGTTGCAGTTTGTACCGGTGTCTGGGCATCCTCGCCTCCCTCAGTGTCATGGCTGAAGCTCACATTCGATCCAGAGTGGTGTTTAGTGCAAGTGGGTACAGGCTGGCAGTGCTGCTGAATCTGGAGAGTGTCAGATGAGAGTGCTGTTTCGTGCGACATCTCGCTGGGATCTGGCCCCACTCCCAGCTGAGGGGGGGGCTCTTTCTGCAGACAAAGCAGAGCCTCTGCCTCCTGGCCCTACCAGACAATAAAAAGTTTTCTTGTTTTTTGTTGTTTTTTTTATTAAACTCTAAAATTAATTTTGGGGGGCTAAAAGCTTTGCCTAAGAGAACAAACAAACCTCTTCCCTGTCATCATCCATCTCCATTTGGCAGTATGAGTTAACAGACATGTTGTCTCTGAGGTCATCTTGACTGTTGTGTGATGGTTCCACTCGTCCACTAAAGAACAACACAGTCTCCGGACTGGGATTTGGCCACGAAAGAATACCCTGCTTGTCCACACAACATAGAACCTGCACGCAAAACAAAAGTACAGATTATATAAACACACACTTACAGAACAAAAAGCTTCCTGAGAAAATAGCTTTCAGTGATAAGAAGAGTTCTAGGCTTTTTAATCTCTATAAAGCGCTGGCTCAGGGAAGCATTGTTTGGTCACTACTTTAGGAATTCCAAAACAGTTCCAAATATCCACACAGAAGAGTTACACACACACTGTAGTATAGGACCCATGTGCCTAAATGCGTACAATTTGAAACTGCATAAGGTCCACGTCCTCAAAAATATTTTAACAGTGCTGTGAGAAAGTATTTCGCCCATTCATGATTTTGTATTGGTTTTTGCAATTTCATCACACTTACATGTTTCAGATCATCAACCAAGTTTAAATGTATTTGGCAAAGATAACCTAAGTTATTAAGGGAAAAAAGCTATCCAAACCTACCTAGTAATTGGTCTTAACTTAATAATAACTGGTTGTGCCATCCTTGGAAGCAATAACTGTAATTATTGTATCCAAAAGATATAATTTAGAATCTGTTCATTATGTAGAGAGACAACACTGGTTCATCCCTTGCATTAGGTGGTTTTTTATGCTTGAATGATTCATAGGTCAATGTTAATTGGCAAAAAACAAACAAACAAAAAAATTCCTCTGAAAATGGTACAAGGACTGAAAAAGAAGAAAAAGTTTGACTGCGCTCTTCTGGACAGATATCTCCGATTTTGTTCCTGGGATCTGCTGGAGCCACTCGCCTAGCTTGGGAGTCACCGCACCTAGTGCTCCGATTACCACTGGGACCACCGTTACCTTCACCCTCCACATCCTCTCGAGCTCTTCTCTGAGCCCTTGGTATTTCTCCAGCTTCTCGTGTTCCTTCTTCCTGATGTTGCTGTCATTGGGAACCGCTACATCGATCACTACGGCCGTCTTCTTCTGTTTGTCTACCACCACTATGTCCGGTTGGTTAGCCACCACCATTTTGTCCGTCTGTATCTGGAAGTCCCACAGGATCTTAGCTCGGTCATTCTCCACCACCCTTGGGGGCGTCTCCCATTTTGACCTCGGGACTTCCAGATTATACTCGGCACAGATGATCCTGTACACTATGCCGGCCACTTAGTTATGGCGTTCCATGTATGCCTTGCCTGCTAGCATCTTGCACCCTGCTGTTATGTGCTGGATTGTCTCTGGGGCATCTTTACACAGCCTGCACCTGGGGTCTATGGATCTTGTGCTCAGAGATCCATCCATATCTATCTATCTATCTATCTATCTATCTATGTTCTGTTCTATGATCATATATCAAAAGCTTACAGAACAGAGCTGCATATAATTTTATTCTATTTTTAATTTGATCTAGACGCAACATGAAATGCATTTTGGGTAGCATTTTTTTTACCTAGATGTATTTGTCTAATGGCCTACAATACTCACTGTGACAGATCCCAGTGTATGTAAAAGGCTGGAAGTACAGCAGAGTGTCTGAGATTTTCCCTTCAGGACAGCAACCAGGTGTCTCCATACACACCGGAGCATCTCCTGCTTAAGTGAACACACACACACACACACACACACAGTTATCAAGAGAACTACTTACTACTAGATATCAAAAACCTAAATGCTTAAATACATGACTAAAATGTATGAGTCTTATGAGGAGGGGCAATATACATGTAGGAACACCAATCGCCTTTGGACCTCAGGTCGGGTGCTCCACTCCTGACTAGGGTGCCTGTATCCAGTAAAAAATACATAACAGACCTGCCTTTTCTCTACGCATAAATACCCCCACCCCCCCACTAACCCAGATGCCAATATGAAGAGATAATCACTTTATTATTATTGTCAGTGGTCATAAACGTTATGCCTGATCACTGCATGTCAGAGATCTGAAGTGTCATTAGGTTCAGATCAGGAGCGTCTTTAACAGAGAAACCTTCCTCTTGATGAATCTTCCACTTCTACTAAGCTGTCAGATACCGTAATTAGATTGTCAGCAGAAGTAGCCACCCCAGTTCTCTTTTGTGAATGCAAATTTGTCCACTACACTTCCCTTTTCTATAGACATGTTCCCTACAAGTTTAAATAACAGATTGAGCTGCTAATGTGCAGGATTGACAGCCACAGAGGAGTTCAAAGTCTTTCATTGAACTCCCCTGCAGCTCACTGACCAGCATGTCTTCCAAACACAAAGTCAAACTTTATTTCATGAAATTAGGTGGAAAATATTTTCATGGTTCACTGTTGATACGGAGAGGACACAAGGAGAGGAAACCTAATTTCCAGTCATGCAGTATAAGCAAAAAAGCAGAGGTGAAAGGTCCAACAACGAGTCAGTGCCTCTCTTATCCTCAACACTTTCTATCATTTTCTCTGATTCAAACGCCAAATACTAAATGTTTGGAAAAAGACAGACTGGTGGCAGCTGTTACTGTCCAGTTATAACAGAAGACAATGACTGAGTTAGGTTAGAAGCTGTGTAAGGTGGTGGGAACAGAAGTAGTAACCATGGACATGAACACATGATCTTAAACACACAGGATAGATTATTGAAGGTAACTATTCGATGACAAAACAAATTTCCCACGTGTGGGACTAATAAAGGTTATCTTATCTTATAACGGGAGGCATCTGAGTGTAAAATCACATGAAGAGTTGCTTGGTCAAATTGTGTTGACTAATAATGTCCAAACAAAACCATTCAAAGAGGGAAATCACATGTACAGCATTTACAAACAGAAAGCAAAGTCAAGTATTTGGATGAAAGCAAAAAGCAAACAAAAAGGACACCGAATCTAATGTCTATGTAAGACATTCAGATGTAAGTGGGACTGAGGGTGAGAGGGGAAGGTGGAAAAGTAGCAAGAGCTATGTACAATGGTTCCACAGAAGGGTTGCAAACACACGGGTAAAGACAGTGAGTGGGTTCGTTCAGGTGGATTTGGGAGCCAAGCAAGTTTAGGCGGGGGGAGAGAATGGGGTGTCAAACAGCATGAGGTTATACCTGGGAGGAAACCATCTCGGTGTAGCTGCTTAGAGTGTCCTCAGAGAACTTAGCAAGCTAGGGCAAGAGAAGAGTCTAGTTAAAACACAGAAGGAGGCTCTCACTGTGCCTCCTCTGTGTGGGATATGGTGTGTGTGTTTGTGTGTGCATGTCTGTGTGTGCATGTGCACGGTTATTACTGAACTGAAGAAGAAAAACATCTGAAACAGTGTGCAGTGCAGACGATCAGAAGTTAGCAAACAGCAGACACAAAAACACTGGATAACCTATATTTGATGAGACGCCATGAACACTGGTCTGGGCCCTAAAGTGATGCCTTCACCTTTATCGTGCAATTTGCAGCAGACTAAATTCGAATTTTTACATTTTTACCAACACTTACATGCATTGCTCCTAATTAGATTCAGAATATGGGGCTGGTGGGGCTGCTCTGACTTTGTGAGTTAGAAGTCCAACTTGAAGTCCAAATTCTGACATCTGATGCACCAACACTCAGCCAACATTCCTTTGACAGGTTCAACTACTGAAACCTTCAAAGGCACATTACTTCCATCTTTATGACCAAAGCCTGGTATTGTTATTGCTGTTTAATCACAAACATTTCACCACAAAAAAGCCTGATATCGCATTTTGAAAGGAAAAAATAAACTATATATGACCTAGACATCTACCAAATATTGACTTTAGAAAGATTTAATCTGTGTACCATTTAGATCTATTTTAGAACCTTTGTCAGAAGAAAATTTGGTGAATGGTTGAAATTAGCTTCAAAGCCTCAAAAGATGATTTTTCACCTTTTCAAACAAATTTACATTTAAAAGGTATGTTTTTTAAAGGCTATGACTGGCCACCCAGAGTTGTTGTCAGCCATTAGATATTACCCTTACTGTGACGGATAAACTTTTGTCAATACAGGTAAGAGTGTAAGAAAAAGTGTGATCTCATTGACTATTTACTGTGATAGAATTTGTCAGCCATTATGTCACCACAAGACTGTTTATATATTCCTATTTCTTAGTATTTACCCTCAAAACCACCGACTGAGTTGCAGAGCTGCTAGTAGAAGCAACATTTTGACAATAAAAAGGTGAGAAAATCATCCATTAACAGAAAATTAACTCATGCTCGAGTTTAATGCAGATGCAACACAGCAGGATCAAAGTTATACTACGTCCACTATAACTTCACAGATGAAATAATGTTCATTTATACTAAACAGCTGTATTGGGGTCTCATCCGTGCACAAACACATGTATCAACAGTGGGGTCATCGAGCAAACTACTGTTGTCAGCCATTACTTAAACTGCTAAAGACAGCGTTCTCAATCACAAAAGCTATTGATGAAATTGCTTTTGGAAGAATGAAGTCCATTCCTTCAGTAGAATTTGGAGAAGGAATCCGAAGGTGCATTAAAGTTATTCTTGACACACATGACTGAATTTCATTTAGTCATTTATCGCTATCTAAAAGCATTACTCCAACAGTTTTACACTGTAGTTCTTCAGTGTGTACAACTAAATGTGTCTGTGTCCCTGAAGGACTTGTTGAGAAAAAAGCATTGGTGTTATTATCGGGGTTTGAAGAGTTCTAGAAATAATAGTTATAGATTTATTCACCTTTGAAATCCGATGTGTCTGCTTCTTTGCAACCTCTGTTCAACTGTCTGCATGAAGTTAAAGTTTGGTTATCACATAATTTTCTTACACTGAATGAGAATAAGACCGAAATCATAGTTTTTGATAGTCACACTCCGCCAGACCAGTTAGCTGATGCCCTAGGTCCTCTTGCTAGCCATCTCTCGCTCACTGTAAGAAACCTCCGAGTGTTCCTGGATAGCGCTTTTAAACTTGAGAAAAAGGGTCTCCACTGTGGTAAACAACAGCTTTTACCAGTTGCGTCAGATATCCAAAGCAAAGCTGTTCCTACCTCTAAAGGACCTTGAAAAGCTTATCCACGCATTTATCACATCCAGACTGGACTACTGTAACTCCCTCTACTTGGGCCTCCAACATGCTTCAGTTAGTTCAGAATGCAGCTGCGCGCCTCTTAACAGGTACGAGAATCTATGAACACATCACTCCAATTTTAGCCAGCTTACATTGGCTCTCTGTTAAATATCGTATAGATTTTAAAATTCTTTTGTTCACTTTTAAAATTCTAAATAATTTAGCACCCAGCTATCTTTCCGAACTCCTCCACTTGTACAATCCCAATAGAGCACTAAGATCGTCCAATCAGATGCTCCTAGCACAACCTAGGTCTCGACTGACGTTGAGAGGTGACCGGGCCTTTGCAACCATAGCACCTAGACTCTGGAATAACCTCCCTGTTCATATTCGTACCATCTTTTTACTTTGGCTTTTGATTCTAACTAGTTGGTTGTTATCTGGCTTGTTGTGTTGTCACCTATTGTTTCCTGCCCTGTTTTCTTATTGTTTGTTTTAATTGTCTCATGCTTTTACTGACTGTGAAGCACTATGGTCAGCTTTGTTGTTTTTAATATGTGCTATAAGAATACATTTTGATTTGATGTGTTCTTTTAGACCTGTTACTAAAAGTTAAAAAATAATAATAATAATAAAAAAAATAATCACTGATAATAACTGAAGCCTTTTCTCCTGTCATTGCATGTCACATTTATGTGTGTGTTTGACCGTGTCCCTGTGTGCATGTCCCTTACCAGGCCAGCTGGTGACACACGGCTGAACTCGGCGAGGACCCTGGCCTCTCCGTAAGCATTCACCAGCACCCACATAATAGGAAAGAGCAGGGGCAAAATGGGCAGAACACCCATTAGCTGAAAAAACAAGTCATACACACATTTCTGTCCAGTCTTTTTCGTTTTCAAGAATCTTCTTAGTACAATCATTATGTTTGGTGCCAACACAGAACAAACTGTTCTGAAAGTTTATTCTCAATAGTAATCACAAAAAACACCTTTACATACACACTGGTTGGCTGTATCCCTACATCACTAATACATTACAGTCTTTGCTGTCTGCACATTTACTGCTTTGAATTATTTTACCTGAAGCTGAACAAAATTGTAGCATCTAGGAGTGAGGCTGGGGGCAGTAAGAAGAAAGCGAATAGTGTTAACAAGCAGGAATGCCACCTAGAAGAGGGGAGCAAAACACACATAAGACTGCACATATTTACATGTTCATGTTCAAATACAATGCAGAATACATTAGGAAGAACACACCAACTACTCACCAGTACAACAGGACAGACTAGCTTGGTGATAACCGACTGTACTGTAAATCTCTCATTATCGAGCACAGTGACTGGGCGAGACAGGGCCAACTCCAAATTGTTCCTGTTGGATAAAAGACAGACAGAAATACAAATGATTTTACCAAAGTTTAACAACTTTTTTCCATTACCATTCATTCCCATTGATACTCTTCTTATGTTCATCATCATTCTTCATCTGTGAGATGTTATGGTTTCTTTTCATTACATCATAGTCACATGACAGCAGTATAGCCAATTAACTTTTGTCAATATGGGTACGAGCGCAAGCTAATGTTCAAATAAAATGTCACAATTGAGAAAAAGTGTGATTTCTTAATATTTACTTTCCAAAAGCCACAGACTGAGTTGCAGTACTGTTTCCTGAAGCAACGTTTTGATAATAAAATGGTCAGAAGAAAATTAACTCAAGTTTGATGCAGATCCAGGATAACAGGATCAAAGTTAGACTTACCTCCACTATAATTTCACAGATGAAATAATATTCATTTATACTAAACAGCTGTATTGTGGTCTCATTCGGGCACAAACAAATTTATCATCAGTCTTCTGGGTTATCTAGCAAACTGCAAATGGGAAGCATTGCTCCTTTTGGAGAACAGTAACTTTGCTGTTTATTTTTCTGTTATGGTGGGCAGATGAAGATTCGCCCTTTGACCCTTTTAAACAGCACACTGGTGCATTAATGTGCATAACCTAATGTTAACCTAAGGTGAATGTCATGTATGTATGTTTTGCTTCCATCCCACCAAAAGAATGCATATGTACATGAAAGACTGTATAATACTTTTAACATTCATTTTTAATATTTGAGGATATCAGAAGTAATTCCAATATTTGGTTTAAAAAACAAAACAAAATAAATAAACATGGCTATGTTCCCTACCTTATCGTGTCCAGGACTGGAGTACAGACCACTCTGAAGAGGCGGTGTTGCTGGGGACTCTGGGGTCCTCTTTTCTCATTGGCCCGTGGTGAAGGAGGAGGGGAGAATGGTGGGAATAAATCTCCTGGTTCAAGCACAATGTGCTCATCATCCTGAGGAGGAAAAATGAAAAGAAAAAAAAAAAGAACAATTATAATTTCTGAGATACCAGATACCGGTCTTACTGACAGGTTAAGGACCTTCTATGGCCCTGTCAGCTCTCCTAGATTTAACCGCCTGTCTGCTGCACTGTCAATCATAGTCTCAAGACTATGCTGCGAGACACAGCAAACCTTTTAGCAAAAGCAAGTACTGATGTGGCATCCTAGAGGAGTTGGACCTCCTGTGAAACATGTGTATGGTGCAGGTATCGTCTCGTGCTTCCAGTAGAAAAGATGAAAACTCAGCAGAGCATCCAGTCAGAAAATGATGATGAGGGGAAAAAAGGTCAGAGGTCTCCGCCTGTAAAACCATTTATTTTTTTGCCTCCATTTTCATAAACAGTGTAAAAAACAATGTATTAAATAGAATTTTTTACACAAACTAATAACAAAAATATCCTGTCCATCCTTTTTACCACATATCATACAACAATGCATTAGTTTTGTCTAAATGTGGCTGATAAACTTCCAGTTGATGTATTTGTTACCGGGTGAGATTGGGTCTAATACCTAAATACAGGCTTAAGCTGCCGATACAAATTGTGATACGTGTTGCTTTTAAAGCTTTTGAAAATTGTTATTTACTCAAAAAAATAGATACTATCTTACAAAAGTATACTACAGCTTACAGTAAATGCAGACTAACCTTAATGCCTCTAAGTGATGCAAAGGCCTCTTGACCAGGTCTCAAAGCAATGATATCGCCTTCCACCAGTAGACTGACAGGCAGGTTAACCAGCTGAGAGTCACGATAGGTCCAGTGAAGGGACCACGATGGGGATGAGGGTGTGTAAAGGTCAGGGTAGAGAGATGAAGGCCATTTCACTTCACCAACACAGGCTGACAAGTAATCTAGGATAATGAATTACAAAATTGAGGACTCATTTAGAGAACAAAAGAAGAACTAACATGACAGACTAACTCTTGTTAATGAAATAGGATTTGAAGAAGGTAAAACAAAAAGCAATTGCAACAACAAAAAAAAAACTAAACAAACAAATGCGACTTTTACAGAGAATACAAGTTCCTCAATTCTTCTGTGTTTGCAGTAATGCAGTCATGAGCCTTACTCACCACTGAGCTGTGTGATGATGGCCTTTAGGCGCCATATCATCTCATTTCGCTTCAGTCTCTCCTGGCGTCCACCCAGACACAGGTTCAGCACCAAGAGGAGAAGGAGAGCAGCGGCATTCAGGAGCTCTATACCAGCACTGTGGAGGTGAAGACAGAAGACCACAGCTATGAATGAAAGATCAAAGAATACAGTGATGAAATATCTCTCATCATGGTGGACGAGGGAGATACATTTCTCAATTACCTGGCTGTGCTAAACATTTTTAATGCAAACTAACTAGAATTTCAACCAGTGCTTTTTTTTTGGAAAGGATGCTATCTTGTAGAGAATCCCTCATGTGCCGAGAAGAAAGCTCTCAAAGCACTGACAGCTATGTGGACTTACCACCGTGTGGAGGTGAAGAATAAGACATTACCACACAGAACAAAAGTTCTGGTAGTATTAGTTAACATTAATGTCGGGTCATAACAGTAAAGCTAACAAAGTACTTTTCTAATGTCAGGTCATTGTGCCAATGTCATTTTCTACAGTTTAAAAGAGCCACAACTGACAGCCTCGGTGCCCTAGAAAAGCAAGGATTGGTGCAATTTGCCTGTAAGGCAGGGTTAGGAGAGGTGTGCTCACATATTGGCGCCATGCTCCACAGCCTTCTGGCAAGTGTAAATAAACATTGATAAGTGCATTCGATAGCACAGCAACTTTCTGGCATGAAGTGTGACGTTAGAATCGAAAACACTTAAAGGATGGCTGGAGGGCAAAGAAGTATTTAAAGTAAAAACGGCAGTATTGTTTTTGTCGTGTCCCAGTAGTTTTGACAACACCTGAAAACTATGGTATTATTGTATTGACCAGCTTATCTCTCTATGCGACACATAATGAGACATTTAAATTATTTGCATGTAGATTTCTAAAGTGCCATAAACATATGTTTTTTGCTTAAACTGTGCCTAAGCAAAAATCCTCATCCCATAACTTCTCCCATAGCACCTCTCAGAGGTGAGACAACTTCTATTCCTTTGTGTATGTTTTAGACTCTCTTCTTTGTAGGAAGAGTAAAATTAATGAATCTACAAAATTGTGTGGTGACATGACCAATTTCTTCTTATGGTTCCTTAGAAACAGAGGGTGGCACAACTTCCCCTCTGGCACAAATCACCCCACTTTCCCTGCACGCTATACGTCAAACAGACAACGACTTGAAATAAACTGGTGTTAAATATGGTATGAAAACATGTTACTACAACAGATGTTCACTTATTATTAAAATATGGCAAATTAACATCTGAAAAAACGAATGAACTGGAACTGAAAAGAGAGGCGCATTGTGCCATTATGAATGATGCATATTTAACATTGGTTTATGATATGTGCTTTTCTTCTTCCTCTATTTGGAGTATAATGTGTAATGTTCATAATGCACGATGAGAGGTGCCCGGAGAGTTAAGCGGCATTATTCATTATTGGAGAGTGTGATTAATGCAAACAAACACCTTTGTTTAGAGCAGTGGTGTCCAAACCCAGGCCTCGAGGCCCGGTGTCCTGCAGGTTTAGATGTGTCCTTGGATCCATCACAGCTGATTTAAATGGTTAAATTACTTCCTCAACATGTCTTGAAGTTCTCCAGAGACCTGGTAATGAACTAATCATTTGATTCAGGTGTGCTGACCCAGGGTGAGCTCTAAAACCTGCAGGACACCGGCCCTCGAGGCCTGCAGTTGGCCAAGCCTGGTATAGTTTGACATTTTCCATTAAACAGTTTTTAGATTTAACTTGATAGCTAACTAAGGGTGTTCCTTAGATTTAGACTAGTAGTCTAAAGTAAGTCTAATTTTTTTTCTCGTTTAGTCGACTTAGAAGTTAGTCACCAGGAATATCCACAGCATCAAGTCCCTCTACCTAAGGCAGCATACCTACAGGATGGTGTAGGGTCATGTGATCCAGTGCCTGTTAGTTTTCTCATTGTGGTGTTTTGAGTCACTGAAGGCTTTTTAAGGAGCAGAATGATAATAACCACAATAGTTTAGCCAAGGAATAATCGTGGACCAACTCTGGACTGTGCTGACTAACCTGCAGCCATTCTTACACTTTCTCAAAATTAAAATCATTCACACAAGTGAATCTGGACTGAATATTCAGACCAACTATAGCAAAGTGATATTGCCTTGTCATGTAGTAACTGACAGTGTGTGATGCATGAATTGTTTAACATTTGAGCATCTGATCCCAAATCCTGTGTTGCTTATTTTAAACATTAAAATGACTAAAATATAGTAGTCACTAATGTCCCTTACAGCATCAGTTTGTATTTGTTTTTTTAAATTCTGAACTACTCCAACATTTGAGGGTTTGCGCCTTGTAGCTATGCTAATAGCTAATAGCATCAATGAATTTTATAAAGTGTTCACACTAACAGAGCAGAACTACTGAGACAGTGTGATTTGGCACTAAACATTATTTATTATATAAATTGAGTAGAATTTAGTTGAACTGAAAAATATGGTCAGTCTATTCCTAGAAACTGTTTACAATAAAACGATATGTCGTCCATTTGTCTGGATGATAGGAAAGTTTCTAACTATGCTGCTGAAGATGTTTAAAAATATATAATGGGAAACTGAAATGGAGCCATCAAAATGTCAACACAAGCTTTCAGCCTTTTTCAAAATTTCCTCATTTGTGATTTGTTCCTCAAATGTGGTCTTCAGCCATATCGAATTGAGTAACCCTGCTCTAAAGCATCAATGCGCTTTTTAAACCTCATTCCTACAAAAGGGTTCAAATAAGTTTTACCAGCTAATTGCTATGATTAAATCTCTATTTAACATCAGGTCAATTATAGGCCACCTTTCTTTTTTTCAAACAAAGTCTTAAAAGTCTTTGTCTGGAAGACATAAATGTACACTCTAAGGAGCTTATCATAATGGAAAGGAAAGCATCTGGACGCTTTCCTTTCCATTATGATAAACCTTATAGTTACAAAACAATCAGGTGACCATGAACCACCATCTCCCTTTTTCTTCGTGTTTAAAAAAAATAATTCTTTTTTGGGTTTTTTTTGTTTTTCTTCCCACTATAACCAATTAATTGCTCATAACAGGTTGACTGATTGATTGAGGATTCCCAAAAAGAGGTTACATACCTCCCCTTCGGCTGGCTACCATGGCAACAGACGAGTCCCACCACCACCAGCAGAGTGAGAGCAGCACCCGGCCAATGGACACAAGAGTGACGATTACCATGGTAAAGGAAGCTATTTTGCCACTGTTCCTATGGAAATGTCCCCAAAACAAAAGCAAGTAAGCACAACAATATACAACATGTTACATTACAAAGTAGTGTGCCTACACAGAGCACATGTGTATGTACACAGAGCCTCACAAGTATGAAAGGCTTATAAATAAATATATATTTATTTATTAGGGGTGCAACGATATTCGTATCGATATTGAACCGTTCGATACAGTGCTTTCGGTTCGGTACGCATATGTATCTGATGCGAGACAAAATACAACTCCACAACATTACTAGTGCAAAAAGACAACCTTCCATTTATTTTCACTTAAACAAGAAGCTGTTTTTATGTACATTAAAGCTTTATAAAAATGTAACAGTGCAAATGCAAATTCCTTGCTGAAAGTTTAACCAAAAGGCATTTCCAGTAGAAATGGGCTGACATATCCTGAGCATAACCATGTATAATATCCACTGAAGTTAAAAAGAGGTGCTTTGCAACATTAAACTGCAGTGTGCAGTACTGCATTTTTCGGACCATAAGGTGCACGGGATTATAAGGCACATTAAGCGAAACAAAGCAGTCAGATAAATCAAACTTTATTAAACTCATTCTTCTTGCTTCCTCCACTTCTGTACCATTGATTCATTAATGTTGAATTCTCTGGCAGCTGCTCTATTCCCATGTTGTTGCAGTATATTAATGACTAACCTCGTATTGTGGATGGATTATCTCAGTTGTTCTCCTGACTGAAGTTTGGTCCGTTTACAGCATCCTGCCATGCGATTGCATTTGTCTCTAACCATCAGGAACTTCACGTTAACTTTTATAAGTGGAAAAGTGTTAGTGTTCGTCCTCCAGCTTCACTGTTTATAGTTATGCTAACATAGCTGTGTCGCTAGCGGATCACGTAGCACATCATTATATACCAGCTAGCCCAACTTCAGTAACCCTACAAACGTCACTGCTGTTTAGTTTTCCTGTCTTCATTTATGTGGAAGTGATAGCAGAGCTGTACGTTTATTTTTTCAGAAATCCTCTCAGTCAGGAACATGCTATATGTATGTTAGATAGAAACTAGCGAGCTAACTCCTACTCCTGCTAACTTCTAACTCCGTTAAATGTCAATAACTTGTTTTCATGGATGCCTGGATAGTTAAACTTTTTTT